TACTAAGCAATACTGAAGTAAAATAACTAACCAATGTGATACTAAGCAATACTGAAGTAAAATAACTGACCAATCTCCTTTTTTTCTCGAAATTATCCGAATCGTAATTTTTAAGCCAAACATTATGCAAAATGTCTTGTGGTGATAGTTGTGAAAAATAGTATATTATCTAACACTGTATATCCTTTGTCCTACCAAAAAACAATGTAGCCACATTAAGATATATGTAAAAAAAAAGATAATATAGCTCCAGTTTCATGCCAAAGTTTGAATTATTCATAACCTCCCAATTTAAGTATATTTGTGCTGATATCCAACGAAATTGTTGAAACTTAAACCAGCCGATTATAAAATGGACTTTTGAAAGTTTTGCGACTAGGATTTCAGTAACACGGTATCTAGCTAATTGTTTACAATCAGGAAATTTACTGTCAAGTTAATGACCTTCGACCTCTTGAACGTTAGCTTACTCGTACGATATTGGTCGGTCGCTTATAATTTTTCTTCGCTAGTAAATACATTTTATACGTTTCTTGTAGTTTATGATTTGAGTCTTTACTTCGGTGTCTAGTTTTCAAGAGTCGTGAATATTGAGGAATATTCATATTAACAAATCTAAATATCAGCCACACAAGCAAGATTCCGTACTTCCTAAACAGTTAAATAAATTTAGAGTTCTTGTGAACGAAAATATGCCCCCACAGACATTCAGTAACATCTGTAATATTGTTGTCGTCACTTATGATTATTCTAATTAAATCAAGTCTCACAAGTAGATGTTTGCAATAAGAAATGGAAAATTCGATGCTAATGAGAATCGCTTTTCTATTGTCAAATTTCGATTATTTTCTATGCAAGAGTACAAGAGTGTAATTATGGTATGCAACTAGTTGGTTAAGTATGTATTAGTTGTACGTGTTCTACAGAGTACGGAAACTATGATAATAGTGGTCTCCATACCTTCTGTGAAGGAAGACTCCAAACCCCCGTTCTCGTACCAGAATCGGTCTCCTAACTTCAACCTGCGGAACTGGTCAGCTACAATACAAGCAAAAGTAGGTCCTAAGGTGGCGCCTGGAAGAGAGTTTTCGGCGATACCAGCGGGAAATAAGTCTATGTCATCGACGTTACTAGTTAAATGAAAATAAGACTTTTTTAAATCTTGATGTTAAGAGATCCAAAAACTCTTCTGAGGATCTATCAATTCGAAAAGTTGCAGTGATAAATATGTATTTAATTTTATATATCCTTTACTTGGCTTTTTTTTAACGAGACATTAAAGACAAACGTTACTATGTATTCGTCAGAGAGAAAATTAAGTGGATTTAAAATATTATAAGATGTTTAACAACTTTATTTATTCTGGATGTCACGAGTAATACTATAAGATCCTCTTGATTCAAGTTTTTAATTTTCGAAGAAGACAAACATTACACAACTTTGAGCGAGGGGTGTAGCAAAATCATTTGAATAATACCGATAAAGTTGGCTAAAGGCTCTGACTGATTTCAAATTCATCCATTGCTCCAGATCTTGAAACGACCGAGCCGTGGGTAGTTTGCAGTGTCTTCTCCAAGCATTATAACCTGGGACGCCATGATCACGTCCACGTTGGATGTTCAAAGCTACAAGATCCATTCCGAAATTTTCACCAAGAGGTTGAAAAAGGTGGTTTGTTACCTGTTACAGAATTATAAAAGTTTAGGATTCTAGTGCAGTTTTATTCAGGGGATTTGATTTATAAAGTTTATTAATGCTTTACGTTTCTTCATTGTTTAATATATTTTTTAATAATAGAGACAGAATCCGAGTCTAACCCATTGTTTACTGCGAGCATAAATTTTGATTAACATTGTTACTCTGAAAGCAATACAATCATTAAACAAAAGATGTTTATTTTCAAATGAATTAATTGTAAAAGTATTACCTATCCCCATTCCTTGAAATATTTTAAGATTCTACAATTACATTGAAGTTTATTCACATTTATAGAATTTACTATGCAGTTTATGATCACGTTAAAATACCTGATGAAACTATGACATTGAGACCTGGTAAATGGTCAAGGTTTGATATCAAGGTTTGACCTGAAAACATACTTTCAAATACTTCCAAAAACATTAATGACTAACCTCTGTAGTGACAAAAGAGTCAAACTGTTGAGTAGGCTGTCTGACCAGCCCCCGCAACAACTTGTCAAAATTTCCAGGTGTGTACAAACGTAAGGGGTTGAAGAAGGAGGAAGAAAGACGAAATCTGTCCACCACGTTGTTGACTTTATCAACAAGGTTCAGCATGCCCTGAAATAGTTTAATCATTTTAATTTTCAATTTATAT